GAAATGGAAGTAAGCTCAACAATCATGAAACAAGAAATTCCTCGAAACCCAACTTTTCTTCGCACTAATTACTTTGAGCCATCACTGCTGGCTTTGTACATATACGAATACATAAAGACACATAAACACATACACACAGACATATTCGCATACTTCGAGGTTGACATGTGACTTGAACTAACCAAATCATTTTATTCCTCATCAAATAGCTTAGATTGAGTGGATATGTACAGCATTTCGAGAAAAGTCAATGCGTTTTCTTGACTGGCTAGCTTGAATATGGCTTTAAGTCTGATACCATACTCCGCTGATTTCTGTTATCCGATGGACGAAAACTCGGCATGTTTCCGCCATAATCGAAGAAGATCGCCTCGAAAACAGCCTCAAAAAGAATGTTCCAGTAAAGCTGATCCCACCATCGTCTGTTGGTGGGATCAACATTCGAATGCAATCCCGAAACACTTTTACTCGAAATGGAAGTGAGCTCACTAACCAGAGAGGAAGACCTGATGATTTTGCAAGACAGCAAGGGCAAATAAAGATGATGTGTAACTCATTATAAACAGCAGGTCTTGAAATCTTCAGCAAAGTTTCCATAATAGTTCGAGCCCCTCTAGGTCGCATTGGCTGATGAAGGAATTCTTAGTCATACTGTGCAGGCACAGCCAAACCACAGCAGAAAGACATCTTCTCTTCAGATCCCCATCAAACATGTATCCTTTTTGTACATACAATCGCTCATCTGTAGATTCTTAAATAAGATTCCGGGTCAGCCGAGATCGTTTAAGACCAGTTAAAGCATAATAGCTCATTTTTCACGCAAAAATAGCATAAACGCATTTCATACTACCTTGACTGTCAATTGGGCCTTGTTCCAGTTTTACCGTCCTTCTCAACAGGAATCGAACCCAGTTCATTCGTCTTCGCAGGCTTGATTTCTTGTCAAACGGAGAGGAGTATGGCGGAACTGTATCACCTAGTCCCCTCTGGCCGAGGATTGTGCGCAAGTAAAGCTCTGAAAATATTTGCAGACAAGCCTTTTCGCCGAAAGATTAATATGTCTTGCAGCAGTCTCTGACCTATCAGCCCCATCTTTGTGGACAAAAGGTAGTTCGGTTAAGTTAAGGCTAACTTTCCAATGACAAAATGATTGGAAGATATTGCATTTTGCATCTCAACAATGTTTTCTCGGCCGTTTCAATATTCCCATAATTGTATCATGTCAATCAGACCTCACTTTTGCCTCACCACCTCAGCCAGTAGTACCAATTGACTTGAGTTCTCATATAAAATCAAACTATTCTTTCAATGGCTACTTATTTGTAAGTCAGTAGACTTCCAGATTTTAGGGATGAATACACATTTGATCTGACCTTTAATTCTGCAGGTAAAGTTGGCTTGAAGGAATTGATGAATCGGTTCTATCAGAAAAAGAGATAAGCTTACAATCGGCCATCCAGCCTCTTAGTTTATTGTGTTGGTGCAATTTGTCATTAAATCACTAATGGAGTCTTGGAAACACATCTTTTCCTGATACATACGAAACACAATGTTTAACTCGTCAAACCTAGTCCCATCATAAATGTGATTTGGGGGTGAATGTTTTGCTTGCTATGAAAGTCAAATTTGCCCTTTGACCTGCAGCCTTCCGTGCCTGTCTGGCAGATTAGTGGGATTGTTCGCTGGCGCACTCGACCTTGTTCTGAATACCTAAACGGATGTTATTGAAATAATGAGGCTTGGGGGAATTAAACCACATCAAGAGGTCTAGCTATTGCAAGGGGTGATCTTCAACATCCACTCGTCACATTCACTTAAACGCTTACTACTTATTTAAAATAGTAAGTAGTTATAGGCAAATAATTTAACCCATAGTTGATGTTACTTTAGAGTTAGCATGTTTAGCTCCCTCTGGAAGTGTTGCCATGAGCCTGAGGCACCTGAGGCCGGTGCGGATGTATGAGGCACAGTGAAATCCTATGACATGGTGCGATTTGGCCAATTAATTGTGGGAAAATCAACTGTCAGCCCCTACCTCCCCTTAAACGACCTCCGTTCTGGTCGGGAAGATGGGCTCTACTATTGCAGGCACTTAAAAGCTTCGACAATTTGGCTCTGCTCAAGATCTGCCCACGGACGAGACCCGGTATCCAAACGGTTCCATCCGCTCGCCCATTTTGACAGGAGATCAAGCCTGAACTGGATGATGTAACCGGTTTGCCAAGCACCCACCTCCCCCACCGCATCACTTTTATTAACGTCCCGTGTTTTGTACCGGACTGTAGCCAAGAGGCCCCGACGACTCGGTTCAAAGAACCCCCGGCACAACAGAACAGCATCACAATCCCAGTCAACATTGGCAAGACAGGTGGAAGTTAAGTCCAATTGTAGAATCGCCCCTGTCTCCCATGACTTGATCAACTACTTTTTTCCTCGTCCTCGCTCCCCTAACTCATCTCACTCCCTCATTTCGGCCGGCCCATTGGTCCAACTATCAGTTGTGATGGTGTTTCATACCAAGTGAGTCCACAAACTCACATACAACATACATACAACCATTTGTACCCTGACGTAGCTGGCCGACCTTAATCATACAAGAGACTAATGATGTCGCGTAAGTCACACTTTATTGTCGAAGTTAGGCCCTTGGGCTTCGTTTGCCGGCCAGTCCGTCCTGTTTTGGCCCACCGTTAAAGACAGACGCAAGGGCGTGTCGAGGGTGAATAAAGAAAGTGAAAATGAACAAAATAATCTCAGCCCTCAGGTCAAGCCCTCTCTGTCCACACCGTCTTCATGTGCACACCGTCCAGGGGACATGTGAGCAAATTGCTCTCTCTCCAGACGCCCAATTCGGACGACTTGCCCAGTTGAGACCGGCTTATGTCACGAAGGCCTGTCTTCCCACCGGGTCATGTGAAGTCCAGTCTTGACCTCTCACTCGGGTCGGTTGGTCCGACCTACGAGTCAGCGCCCAGCCACGGCCCTCATGGTCGTCGCTATAGGTCGCCGGGTTCGAGACCGCCTCGAGGTGTCGTCAGTCCGAAGGGGACAGACAACACTCGAACTGTACCTCGAACATTCTCATTCGTTTAACCAGTCATCGTGTCGAGCAAGACTATGCCTGGACGACATGAGAACGGCCACCTTCTGTCCAGGCTCTTATTCACTTCAGTTCGGCAAAGCAACAATGGCACCTCATTTCTCAGTTGCCAGCTTCGGCTTCTCGACTTTGAACGGTCACTTCGTCTTGGGTTGATTGGTTTTGCCCCTACACCTTAGGTCCCCTTTGTTTTTTGCCTGACCTTCGGGGAGAGAAGGTTTTTTTATAGCAATGCATATTAAATTAATTGACACCAACCAACCATTCTAAAAATCATCTACTCAAGACACATAATTTTCACAATGTATTTATATTTTCTGTACGACCTGTTAAAAAGGTATATGGTAATGGTAATGATAGAGTAAAAAAGATAGAATATGAAGTTTTGGTGCAAAGACTTGTAAATCATAGGAATTTTAATGACTAGGTTATACGATTCTCTCCGTCCTCACAACTAAAAGGAGTCATTAACACTAATTTTTGAGCAAATTGGCAGAATTTTAATGCACCTCCAATTGGTTGGGAGGTATTTTAGGCACCAGCAATTGAAGAAAAGTTTCCATCATCATCATTATCATCTTGAGTGTACAGCAGTGTCACTCCAACTATATGAGATGTATTCACCCAATTTCGTTTAGGGTTACGAACGACTGGTAGTCGAATTTTCCCACAAGCACATGAAGGCTGGAGTGGACTGCAGGTTCTATGAATACCTCCAGCGGGAGTCGAACCATGACATTTCAGCATGTTATCTCAACACGTTAACCACTTCGTGAGTGCGTTCGGTCACAGGGCATATGTGAATTTCAGGAAGGGTCATATAATTAATTTACTGGTAGCCTCGAAACCCCACTTATAGGGCGAGAGATAATTAATGTAGTCGATTGTGGTAACAAATATAACTTTGCTTAATCGACAATCCCACCAAAGAAGACGATATGACAAAATAGCTGACCTTCCTTCACATTCCCATCTGCCATGTGATCCAATGGGACGTAGTGGCTAACATATCGAGATTACACTGTCATAGTTCGACTCCCGACCTAGGCGAGATCGAAACGGTAGTCTATTCCAAACGAAATGTGGACATCTTTTGAGAAAGCAAGGCCATGTTAAATTTAATGGAAACATGATTGTGAGAGAATTCAACTGCTAGACTTTCATCACATTAACCGAAATGGGGTGAATATATCAAACGTAACAGATTTACTGTTAGCCTCAAAACTCTACTCATACAACGAAAAATCACCCCCAATTGTTTTGTTGCTTTACCCCCAAAAAGGTGGGCTCATATAAGTTAGTCAAGATTGATGGATGGGCCTGAATGGCCTGGGTTTGAAGCCCAAACACTTGGGCGCTATCAAAAGTGAAATAAAATGAATAGTTTGCTCCAAGAAGACTCAGTTTATGTATCTGAATATGTCATGTTTTCCATGTCATCGCTTTGCTCATCGTGGTCTTTATTGCCTCCATTTTTTATCCATCTTACCCCACTGATACATTATCCTATTTGCCCTTTTCTTCATATTTTATGTGATTGTATTTCCTTATCTTTCTAAAGCTTAGGAGATGCTATTTTTCCACTCATGTGAATATTTACTTGCTTTTTTTTATAATTATCTTGACCATCACTTCCCTTAAGATTTGTTAATTTTCATTTATGGCGGCATTCTCCATCTCTTATTGACTTCTATTTGAGCAATCTGTTGACTTTTCCAAACTCACCTTTGCCGATAACATGAGGAAATCGTAAATAGGCATTGACAAGTAAGTGGCAACAGTTTAGCTAACTTTTGAAGTTGGTGAAACTTTCGTTGTGTGATTCGAGGCAAGTGAAAAGGGTTTCGTAAATTGACTTCACGGAAAACCAAAGAAGGATTGTCTTGGAGTTGGAACTGTAGATTTGTGTAAAAACGATCCTCGGCTCGTGAGATGCTATGCCGATTACTGATTCGCATACATCTGCAGTCAGAACTCCAAGACAATCCTTCAGCTTCAAATGAGGCCCATTTATAAATCCTCTTTAACTTACCTCATCAAGTTTCGCTAACCTCAAAAATTAGCTCAAAAGCTGCCAGTTACTGAATGACCCTTATTGCGATTTATTCACGCAATCGTCAAATGTACAAAAATTGAATTCGGACGAGTCAACAGGTTGCTCAAAGGGGACTCAATTCTATATAGAGAATGCCGGCAAAAATGAAAATTTGCGAATTTCAGAGCGAATACTCCACAAGGGTAATAATTAAAATAATTTTGATCAAAGAGAATATTTATGCGAATGTAAAAATAGCGCTGGAAAGACCATCTGTCCACCTAAGCCTTAGGAAGGAAAGGAAGCGAAAGCTAGTAAAAAAAAGATTACAACTGTGAGAAAATAATTTTAAAGTGGACTAATACAAACAGAAAATTAAGATTATGAAG